CCTACAATATAATGAAACCCTTTTTTGGGCTCTTCATACATTATAAAAAAATGCTTGATAACAAGAAGAGAATTAGAGAAGTATGAACGGAAGTTTGAAGGAAAGTTTTGAATAGATTTTCATAAAATCCTAACGCCTTCAAATAAGGCAAGTCTTAGCTTGGGGTGCCGAATTATTTTTTGTAAAATGCAATATAATACCACCTATTTGAATTATTGTTATGTCAGTTATCCGCAGAACACTTATTGGTGGGCCCAAAAAGGAAGTAAAACGCAGTATAATACTACGTTTTAGTAAAATATAATATTATACTGCGTTTTACATTTAAAAAAATAAATATTTATGTCAGTTATCCGCAGAACACTTATTGGTGGGCCCAAAAAGGAAGTAAAACGCAGTATAATACTACGTTTTAGTAAAATATAATATTATACTGCGTTTTACATTTAAAAAAATGAATATTTACGTCAGTTATCCGCAGAACACTTATAAGTGGGCCCAAAATTAAAGTAAAACATAGTATAATACTGCATTTTAGGAAACTAAAACGTAGTATTATACTGCGTTTTACATTTAAAAAAATAAATATTTATGTCAGTTATCCGCAGAACACTTATATGTGGGCCCAAAATTAAAGTAAAACGTAGTATAATATGCATTTTAGGAAAACGTAGTATTATACTAGTTTTACATTAACGGCTAACTTTCCGTTAAACTAAAACGCAGTATAGTATTGCGTTATGTTAGAAATGTAACTTTTTTTTAGCTGTATAATGGTATTTTGAGTCCAAAATACCATTATTTAGGTTTCAGACTCTTAAAATGTTTTCTGACTTCATCAAATCACTTGACCATAGTGAATTGGAATGCAAAACACTATATATATATNTTTTATTCACATTAACAGCTCCAAATATCAAATTTGCAAATTCTCCAGCCAATATTAGCAGTACAAAATGCAGACAAAAATAAAGTAAAAGTGAAAAAAGGGGTGAGGGAGAGTTGGCATACAAATGGAGAAAAGAGGATCACTACACAACAATTTTCTGAAGTTAGAGAACAGAAGCCTCTTGTCACAGCATTTTATTCAAAGAAATTGGCACTTTTCTTTGGTCATCCCAAATGATATGTCATTTCATTCAGCAGCCAATGGAACAGCTTCAGCCTAAACAAAAACCAAGATAAAATCTTCATTAGCAGATTCAAGAATTAAGAAAATTTAACATCAATGATTCTCTAAGTGCTAAGTTGCTCCGACATAGCAGTTTAGGTGCGGCACCCGTGTCAATACGACACTAGTGTGGGTGTGGGTATGGGATCCGTACCGATTTGGTCAAACGATTTTGGGTACTTTGACCATAACGGACGGAAAAATTCGAGACGAGATACAATTTGATTTTCGAAATCAGAAGAGTAAATTTGAAGAAAATAGCATACTTATCTAGGAAATCAATCATTTACTAATCTACAACTTGAGAATTAAAAAAAATCTACACTTTACAAGTTATACGTAAGTATTCCACATAATATCTCATAATTTAGAGATAATTTTTTTTAAAATTATTTTTAGCCGGATTCTCGCACCCGTATCCGTACTAGGATCCATATCCCCGAATCTTATAATTTACATCTTGAAGGATCTGAACTCTAGATCCGCACTCGTGTCGGACATCCACACCCGTGTCCGAGCAACTTAGTCTAAGTGAATGCAATCAATCAAGTGTATATTAAACACTATGAGAAGAGCAGGAAGCAGAAGAACTCACCATCTTCCGGTATTTGAGAGCATAAAACATTTCTAGATATCGACGGATTTCTAGACGATCAAGCTTAGAAACATGTTTCCAGAAACCGTAAACAGCAGCCAACGTCAATAATCTCTCCGAGTAGATTTGCCACGTGTACCTGTATATAGTAGTAGAGACGCGATAAATTATCAATCAACTATGCCTCAAATCCCAAGTTAATTTGAATGACTAGAGTCAAGAAAGAGTTGCTTACTTCTCTTGGATGCGCTTCAGGCCACCGGTTGAAATAGTTTCCCAATGAGAAGGTTCCGTCTTACATTTCTCAAAGAAATCAGCTAGCAGATCAGCAGCTTGCTCACCGTGATATGGATCGATATGGAAGCCGGATTTTCCGTTAACGATGATCTCAGCTGGACCGCCATGATTAGTTGCAAATGTAGGCAAACCACAGGTCATGGCCTCAACAACAGTCAAACCGAAAGCCTCATAGAATGCAGGCTGCACGAAAGCTCCCCTAGTGTCGGCAATGTATCGGTAGAGTTCGCCGTTCCTTACTCGGTTCATCTGTGAAGAAATCCATCTGAATTGGCCATTTAAGTTGTGAGTCTTTATTAGCTCATACATCTTCTTCATCTCTGCTTGCTCTTCCAAATCTTTGGATTCCTTCCTTCGGTCTCCACCAACGACAACAAGGTTAACCAACTCCCTTAGCCGTGCGTTCTTGGCGTACCACTCAACAAGTCCGGTTAAGTTCTTCACACGATCCAATCTCGCCATTGTGAATAAGATTGGCTTATTCCTGTCCTTTAGCACACACCTACCAAAATCACAACATGTTCAGCACAAGCTCATCTACATAGGTAACAGGACTTTGTAACTGTACCCAGTGGCAGAGCCACATGTATTCAAGAAGTGCAACCGATACCCCTTTGTCGGAAAATTACATTGTGTAGCTAGGTAATTTTTTTAATATATTTATACTACATATTGACACCCCTTGGCTTCTTTGTGAATTTATGTCTTTATATTTTGACCCCATTTTAATGAAAATTCTGGCTCTGCCACTGACGGTACGAGTAAGTTAGAAACTTACAGATGTTCCTCGTTCTCAACATCACTGTACAGAAGCTCCTCAATTTCTGGGTGAAGTGCTGTCAATCTCTTTTCCTTCTCGGAATATGGGAAATACAGGTTTATATCAGCTCCAGGTGAGACAATGTTGAATTTGGGATCGAACACATCAATGCCGTGAACGACTCTGTACAATCCAGGCATTGTGAATGCCTGGTGACTCTCGTACTGTCCGACAGTGTCCTTGCTGGAAAATTCATTAGGGTATTAGGTTAAGCATAAGGGGAAGAAATCGAACAAAATGTTACTGCAACCGAATTAGCAATTGATGTTATACCTTCCTGCTATCTCCTGGAAAGTGCTGGTGATGATAAAATCGGTGTGATTCATTGCAATAAGATCAGCGGTAAACTGGGACGAGAAATGGTATTTTTCGTCAAATTTTTTCCAGTAGATGTCAGAATCAGGATACTTTGTTTTCTCCAATGCATGGGCAATGGTGCACTGCAGAAGGCAAATAACACAGCGAAGAAAAGAAAATTTTAGTACTTTTAGTTCCAGACTAATGGAAATACAATCAGATTTATAAGAGGTGAAAAATAACACAGACCTGCGTTACGCCTAACTTGTGAGCCAGCAATGAAGCCACAAGATTTCCCTCGCTATAGTTGCCAATTATCAAATCTGGCTTGGCCTGCAGTTCTGCAGCAAGTTCTTTTGCAACATCCTGATGTACGAAAAGCCAAAGCGTTAATAATTAGCAAATTGTTCCTAATACCAATTAGAAGATAGACAAATACAAGGAAGCTTAGTGTCACCTCAGTGAAAGTCTCCATGTATGGCCACACTTCAAAGCGAGATATCCATTTGCGAACAATGCCCTTCTCGGTCCTAAAGGGGACCCTAAGAATATGTGAGTGCTCGGCTCCATACACCTTCTCAAGCCGCTGACCACAAGTTGTTCCAACTGCATCAGGCAGCAGACGAGTAACCTGGGAATAATATCAAGATAAGTTGCCAATAAAGAGAAAATTTTGTGTAATCCGCAGCAATTACAAGTACAAGAAATACTAACAATAAGAATACGCGGTGTTATATCAAGTCCTTGCTCCTTTAGGCGTTTAAGCATTTCACGCTCCAAGGCTGGAACTTGATCTAATATGTAGACAACCTGCACATTACGGGTGAAGGACCTTAGCATTTATGGAAGCAAGCTTTAGAAGCATACTAGCAGTTGTTTGTTGCTCCGACCTCCAAAATGCCATTGCACCGGTGACAGATCCTCCAAAAATGCATTATATTTGGAGTATCCTACACGGGTACAGTGGCATTGTAGAGGATCTGAGCAACATAGACTCACGGACAAAGACTAAAGTAATGCACCTGGCCACCAGTGTCGGGATAACCCAAGACATTTTCCTGGGCGAAATATCCATGGGGGGAAAGGATAACCACGTTGAACACCATAGGAATTCTCCCTAGGAACTTCTCAAGAGTACAGGAGTCGGGAGCCTCAAGTAGATCAAGAAGCATGCATATCATCTCTAGCACGCGCTCCGCAGTGTCGCCCCATCCCTTCTCCAATCCAATTTCTTGGAACTTGTGTTCGAATTCGGAAAATGGAGTTTCAGGGGGAAGCATAATAAGGTATTCCTCTGCCTTCCTTAGGACATTTTGCAGAGTGGTTAAATTCTGTATTCTGTCATTCAGCATCATTGTCTGCAAACGAAATCGTACATCTATCCTTTAGTACATATTCATACATCATTGGGCGCATGATAAGCACAAACTGAACATATATATGAATGGGAATAACAAAGTTACCTTGCCCTTATAATTGTGAACCCGAAGAAATTCAAGAAGCGGGGTCATGCTTTCCTTGTCATGGAACATTTTCGCAGAAAGGTGCCTATTGAGGAATTCAACTCCATTCCCAATAGATTTGGTGAGGGTCGGTTTAGGAAAGGATGCAGTGAAGGGCTCAAAATCCAACTCGAGAACGAAATTTCCATTGGAGCTGCATTAGGTAAAAAACAACACTGATAAATTGAATCCACTGCCTATTCTCTAACATAGTATCAAATAAGAGACTAAAACTTACGTTCCATCAACAAGTTCTTCCTTAAAATGCAAATACTCAGGGACGGTCAGCTCCTCAACGACTAGAGCATTAACATTCACACGGACATATTCCCACACACCAGGCCTCAAACGAATGGCAAGTGCAACCCAAGGTGGCAGAACAATCGCTTCCTGGTATAACATATCATTGTAGTAGTCGGACACAAACTCAAATGCATGATCATTCAGCTTGGTAACACATTTAGCCAAAATCAAAATTACCTGAGTAGATTTCAGGAGTTCTTCAAATGCATGATCATTCAGCTTCTTTTTGTCATCTTGGCGAATTGCATCGAACTCAGCCAATAGCTGGTGAGGTTTCAAGATCCCTTTTCCATGGCTTTCAATCCTGTAATAACCAAAACCAGTTCAAGTAACATCACATATACATTCCTTTTCGATATCAAACATGATCTATCTGCTTAATAGTCCATACTACAGAATTGCAGACAACACCAACTAAATCTCTCGTTTTCATAAGAGTAGTTTCCGAACCAGCTAACTCGCACCAGCACAGGTACCGGATAATTATGACTACCAAGACTTAGGCAGATAAATCAAATCACATATCGTTTTTTGAACACCAACTGAATCTTTTGTAGGAAACAAGAACACTACTTAGGCAATACCTTGAAAGAAACAGCAATATCTCATTGCGATGTGCAGCCAAAGTGGCATCAAGACGTTCACGAAGGCTGTGAACACGAGTCAGAGCACGTTCAGCCATGGCAGTTGATTCAGCAGATGAGAAATCCTCAGACAAGTTGTTTCAGCTGTAAACAACCAAAAAATATACTAGTGCAGTTAGTAGAAGATGGACACCTCAGCTTATCCAAAATACCAATCAAAATTTTATTATACTACATTAGTACAACCACTTAGAAAATGAAAACGACATACTAAAAAGTCACTGAAAAACCAATATTTTCAATGATCTAGAATGTTACTACTCTAAATTTTCAAAACTTCCACCTAATATAATAGTACAGTTTAGTAATTAAAACCACACCAACCAATATTATGACATTAATTAAGTCTACTAAATGCTTTTGTGGCGAAAGCACAACGCTACGTGTGACAACCAAGATTACTACAAAGGCTAAACTAAAAAATTTAAATCAAGGAGACCCCACCAAAAGCATCTAGAATGATCTTCCTGTTACAAAGTATACTACAATTTCAATCATAATTCAACCAAACCACTAAACCTAGCAAAATATTTAAAATATACAGGAATTTCTATATAAAACAGAATCTTTGAAAATAAAATAAAAAGGGTAAGTTTTTCAGTAGAAAACAGCAAATGTAGTAGGGAAAACAGGACTTGATGACTAAAGCATACTGGAGATAAATTTAAGAAATTATAAGACATAGCTCTGATGAAGATAGGGACGCCCGGTGCACAAAGCATCCCGCGTTTAAGTAGGGTCCGGGAAGGGAAGCACCCCAAGAGTGTGTGATGTAGGCATTTTACTCTGATGCCACGATTCGAGCCCATGACCTATAGATCACAGTGACAACTTTAGTGTTGTTCCAAGGCTCGCATTCACTCTTATGAAGATATATTTATCTTTAAATGAGGTACTTATGCTAATAATTTGACACCAGCAAATAGGACAAAAACAAACAAAGAAAAAAAAGTAACCGAACAGAACAGAACAGTTAGACTAGAAGAAAAAGGTGGAGATAAAAACTATGCAGAACTAAAATCAAACCTCAAGATCAGAATTTCCTTTAGAGAAAAGTTGTGCATTTATAAATAGAAGTACTGTAATATTATAATATTTTTGGTAAGAAGGGCAACCCGGTGCACTAAGCCCCGCTATGTGCGGGGTCGGTCGGGAAGGGCCGAATTACAAGGGTCTATTGTACACAGTTTTACCCTGCATTCGTGCAAGAGGCTGTTTCCACAGCTCGAACCCATGATCTTTTAATAACATGGCAACAACTTTACCAGTTACGCCGAGTCTGTCCTTCGTCTTTAGTAAGACTAAGATAAAAAAAAATTTAAAAAAGTATATTTACCTCAGAGGTGATCAAGAACACAGAATTCTTAATTTTTGCTGAAAAGTAGGAATCTTTTTGCTGAAAGATCAAAAGATAACTTAATTTTATTGAGTTTTGGGGGTCAGAAACAGATTTTTTTTTTCCTATCAAGAAATCTACTAAAAGAGTTGGCAGAAAAATTGAGAATGGTTTTCTTGGTTTGTAGCTGCAAAATTTATGATCTTAGTACACAGCAGAAAGCAACTGATACTTAACAACATAGAAACGTACAAGCAAACTCTACTGAAAAAGGAAAGAAAAATAAAAGATATTTTCTTTAATGATAAGATCAAAATAAATTTCAAAAATCAAGACTAACAAAATGACTGCTACTTTTCATGCAGGTAATGAATTAGTATATGAACCAAAAAAGATTGTAGTTTTACCTTTGGGAGGAAAATGAGATAGAATAATGAGCAAATACAAAGAAAAGAAATGAAATGAACTGAGATATAGAAATGGAAATGAATTTAGAGTAGAATGAAAGAGTTTTGATTGTGAATGGTGAAGAAATGAAGGCTAGAGGACCTTTATTTATATGAACAAAAGTGTAGACTGTAGCAGTGTAATTAGGTGAAGGATTTTTTTTTTTTTGGTAATTAATTAGGTGAAGGATTTAATTAATCAGAAACTACATGCTATTATGGCATCGGATTTTTCTTGAAACACATACCACCATTTGGTAAAGTCATTAACTAAAGTACTATGCATTGACCTTATATTTTTATCTGCGTTGATGGTCCGACTAATTCGAGTTAACATAGCGTAAGATCAATTAAAGAGGGAATCGCTTCGTATCAGAAACTTTTTCACATTCAAGGTCTCGAATTCGAGATTTTTAGTTAAGAATAAATGGACCATATTTATCTTACCATAACTCTTGATAGTTGCAGTATTATGAATCACCTAAAATTAATTAAAAGTAATTGTATAATTAATTAAAACTATTTACCTAAACTTTAAAAAACTATAGTAAAATAGCAGAGTTCAGGGAGCAGAAGTTGAAGTAGTTTCAGTACTTCATCGATTTTAGTTAGAGTAAACGATTGATTTCTATTCTATCGTATCAAGCATGAATCAATATTTTTTATTCAATCTAGATCCCTTGCAATTGATATGTGGAATATCGAATATGTTAACGCCCATCAATAAGGTGAACAATCTGTTATAACTTATAAATCTAGTTTCCCACAAGTATATTCCATTCTACGACACCGAATGTGACTTTGTAAAAAACAATAGTAGTCCTACTCTTTATTTAGGACAGAAAAAGTGGTATTACTATTAAATTAACTTTCTATATCTAACTCTAAAGGATGTGGTGTAGTGGATGAGACTGTTCTTCCTTTAAGAGTTTTGGGTATAGAAAATTCTTGGTAGGGAGCGCTTCCCCCCTCCCCCGAATGGGGTCCTACGCGACGCAAATCCAAATATAATCGGGCTCCAATGAAGATACCGGACACCGGGCGGAAAACCAAAAAAATAAATCCTATATCTAATTCCAATTTCTATTGGCAGCTGTCGTTTTACAGTACTAGTCAACCAAAACCACTTTTGTTCCCCTTCTGTACTTGACACTAATCCTGTGGACCCATTTGTTTAATGTAACTGCGCACTTTATCCACTTTTTTTAAAAAAGTTTATTTATTATTAGAATAAACAAATCTTGCCTTGGCTGCTTTTATATATTTTGCGCTCATCATTTGACACTTCCCCATTTCAATTATATTTAGTTGTGTATATAATATTTACCTACCATTTTAGGATAATTTAATTTTTTTTTTCCACTCCGTATTTAGTACTCGTATTTAAACTTCAGTTAATTTTGATTCGCGTAAGCATATTCTATTAAAGTGCTCCGTACATGATTTTTTGCATTTTCAAGGCTTAAGTAGGCGTTTGGACATAAGAATTGTTAAATTCAAACAAAAAAAAGTGAAAAGAAATTTTCAAGTAAAAATGGTATTTGAAAATTAGAGTTGTGTTTGGACATGAATATAGTTTTGGGTTGTTTTAGAAGTTTTGTGAGTGATCTGAGTGAAAATTTTGAAAAATAACTTTTTGAGTTTTTCAAATTTTCGAAAACTTCCAAAATTCATCTTCAAGTGAAAATTATAAATTTTATGGCCAAACTCTGATTTCGAAAAAAGGTGAAAAATTTTCGAAAAAAAAATGAAAAAATTCTTATGTCCAAACGAGCTCTAAATTTGAGGTTTCGAATATTATTCATCCTGTCACAAACATAGGTGGTCAATAATGTAACGATTACTGTATTTTGGATTTGACCCAAAACTTCTAGTATTAGGCAAACAGGTCCAAAACTCTGTCTATGTTCCCTTCTTAAATGTTTTGTTTTTCTTGCACGTAGTGCTGTGGTAAGTAATCACGCCCAACTATGCCTCATAAAAAGGATAAAGCGGTTGTTGCAAATATAATCCGAGTATTTAGCCCGAGTTGAATCCTCGATAAATTAACCTATCAATTACTTTTGTTAGACTCACTAAATTCTTTGTAATTAACTTCCCAGATATTTAAATAACAATTGGTGATGTTTTAACTAACTACAACTGAATAAAAGCAAGTAAACTAACAACTAACTATGATTGAGTTGTAAACAAATAAGAGAAGGATCTAAGGTTATGATTTCCCCTATTGATGGAATTCATTCATGTTATGTTTCACATAGATTTATCTAATCGTCTCTATCGATCATGAGCACTGTTATTACCGTGAATCTCTCCCGAATAATCACGAAAATTTACTAGACGCACTCTCCCGAGTTACGCTCGCTGGCTTTTATTACAGCTCACTTTAGATTGCACCCAAAGCTTCGTTATCCCTAATCCCGCCTTTAAACCTCGGTTATTGATCCTCATATACTTTGGGAGTGGTGTTGTTCAACAATTACCTAAATATGCACTCTCTCCCGAGTAATACATATTAAATAGGCACAGCTAATTAAGGATCCTATCAGTTAACTACAACAAGAACGTAGTTGAACAAATCGTAATTAAACGAGGCAAACTATATTAACATAACATGAAGTTCATCCTTCAACAGGTTCATCAAAACCCTAGACTAAATATTTAGCTACTCATAGCAAAGCAAGATAAAACTACAAAAGTATTCATAATGTGCAAATAAAGATAACAAAGAGAAGATTGAAAAACTCTAATGGTTGATTGCTCTTCTCACACTTGTGCTTGCCTCCAATTCAGTCTAAAAACCTTGATAATGTCCCTTTGGGTGAGCTGGACCTCTTATAGGTTAAGTGGAATTACCCCCGAACTTCCAAGTTTACCCCTAAATTATATTTTTCTGAACTGGACTAGCGCGGTTGCGCTAGTAGGCGTGCTACTGACCACGCATATGGCATAGTATTCTGCCTCAAACTCCTGGGCTAGCGCGGTCGCGCTAGTGGGTCATCATTTCAGCTCTTCTTTTCTCTCTTCTTTCAATGTACTCAGCTCCGAGGGGCTTCCCTTGCTTCAATTTAGCTCCAAATACAGTCCTAAGTCCTCGTACGCGCAACTCACTCCTGCAAACCATGAAATTCATAATTAGAGCCAATTTATCATCATTTAACTATCCTACAACAGTGAAACATAGTCAAGATGGGGCATAAACAGCCGCTAAATTACATGAATCTAGCCTATTATCAATACCCCACACTTAAATCATTGCTAGTCCTCGAGCAATCCACCACACTCTATAAGGTTCCTTCACTAAGCTTTTCCCTTAAGTATCACACCAAGAACAACTCACCAAAAATAACATCTAGTCGTGAACAATCTTTGCCTCAAAAGTCGACTCTCACGTGCCGTACAATATTCGTACTTACTCAAATTACTCTATACAGAATTCAAGACTTACCTTTCCTTCGTGAATCAGATGGCATCACATCACACAACAGAGTAGTTCCACAAATAATAATATTAAGAACAATTAGGAACTTAGATAGACAAAATTCGCTCACTCTCAAAAAGAACATTCACATGCCACAAAGATGCACCATAGGCTTGTCAAGACACTCTCGCTCGAGTATTCAAGTCAGTTACAAACATACAATTTAAGGCACTCTAGCAAGAATCAACCATTAAGACTAAGCGTTACACTCTAGTGTCTATTGTGTTCAAGTGTATCAACGCCAAGGGTTTCTCTTTCTATTTCAGCTCGTTGCCCATCAATACTAACTAAAAACTAAAAACAAAATAAACAAAAACTAACTACACCCGGTTCAAGCAAAACTCTTGGAAAAGAACCGCGACCCAAAGAAAAACTAAGGGGGAGTTACTACACTACCTAAAACAAAAAAATCTTTTTGGTATTTTCTTTAGACTTACTTCCCTCAAGAAAACTGTCTAGAAGATCCGTCATTAGGAAGAGTCCAACATATTCCTTTTTTTTTAGATTTTTCCATCGACTTAGACCCTCAAGAACCCCGTTGAAAGAGATCCGTCGTCGGAACAAGTCAACTTACCTACTTTAAACTTGCCTAATTTGACTATTACTCAAAACCACAAAAACAATCAACAAAAAGAAAGAAAACATCAAACAGTCAAATTGTTACATATACATACATACATTGAAGTATCCCCCACCCCACACTTAAAAGGAAGACATGTCGTCATGGCATACAAAATAAAGAACAATGAGGTAAAGGAGCTTCCCTGAAAGATCACTCTTGATCGGAGACCGTGTCTAGGTTCAAACTGTAAGCACGACCCAGAGCTCTCAGCCAGCCCAATATTTTCTTATCAGATTTCACCTATTGGGTAGCCACCCGTGTCAATACATGTACCCAAGTCAATGACCGAGGTATGCAGTCCGGCCACCTCCTGCTCCAAAGCTGTGAACCGGGTAACTCGAGCAGCCCCAGATGGTGCTGTAGCTGCTGCAATTTGTTCATGGGCTTGTGGCTCGGCCCTCACATCCTCCTGCTCAGCCTCCTCTTCCTCAGAGTCATCAGAATCACCACTATCATCACCACCCGCTGCTACCGGCTCCTTCCCAGTAGTGACCTTATCCGCTCGGAACTTGTGGCCTTTTGGCACTCTCTCTCGACATCCAAATTTTCTGGCACTCGAGCTGCCCAGCAAAGTCGAGTAACCAAGGAAGGGA